AGTTGATCAGTCAAGTTTACTCGAGATTGTTATTTCACTCTGCTAGTTAACGATACATACAATGCCGATAAATTTCTTGTATTTGCATTTTGAGATTGATAAAATATCGTTGCTTCGACGTCACTCTCTCATGCACTTAAATTCGAAATGTATAAGCTTGCCTGCTTATTATAAAATGCACAGTTCAAACAGTGAATGCTTATCTTTTAAAAATATTGGAAGGTTTTACGAAACGATCGTCCACAAGAATTGCGCCTTTCTTTTGGAAATTCGCGCGCACGAGGTTGCGAAAGCGCGGAAGTGCGCACGCAGACACAAAGGTGCAGCTATGTTAGCGAGGCGTAATTGCGGGCATAATTCCGAAGCCAAACGGTCATCGATATCGCAAATCATCATTCAATAAGTTACAGCAACGATCCACGCTCGTCAACTCGCTCGTCCAGTTTTTATTCTCTCTCTCGCGCGCGCGATCCTACGATAGATTTCAAACTCGCATTCGAGCGCGTAAGCGTATAGTATGTAGTTTACGGCTTCCCTCGTAAATTTCAACCACGTGAAATCACAATTTTGCAGCCTCGGGTTCGGCTATTATCATTAAAACCTGTCCGAACATTAGACCTTTTCGCGACTGCTCATGCTGTAATGTCACGCGCGTGATTTTATGGATGTTGAATGGATTGTCTGCAACACTACTATACTGCTATATATATACGCCAGAAGGAGAAAATTGCAGCAGATGCGGCAGTGAAACATTTTGCTGCAGCGTATTGAATAAAATCTTTACATCAATCAGAATACATTTGTCCTTTGGAATGACAATTGAGATAACTTATTAGAAAAGAAAGATATTTGATTGACACGATCAATGTATTCGATACCAAAATTCGACAATGATTGTTCTTGGTCGAGTGCCGGTGCGATTGGAATATTTTTCAATTTTATAAAATTAAATAAGTGAACGTTTTGGATATACCTTTATAAAAGATTGACGAAAATGATTGATAGATCACGCTGATAAAAAAATAACAAAAAACCTGTTACGTATTGGTCAATTCATAATAGTCAATTTGAGAAGTTAATTGACGTTTCACCTTCTTGGTGAACAAAAAAGACGGACCTGTAAAGAAGTCTCGACATAAAATCCGCGTATGAAGCGTTGGAGATATATATCATTTAATCTCTCAAATCAAATACTCTTGGCAGAGAAAGTATATCAAATTGGATTTATAGCGTTTCTCAAGTCCTCAATGATTGTTTTTTCCCTTCCTTCCTCTCTCTCCCTCTCTCTCTCTCTCTCTCTCTCTCTCTCTCTCTGTAGTAGTTAGCATTACCTAACAAACGATATCATAATAGGTAGCACCTTTTCACTACTAGAGCATCTGTAGTTTTGACAAGTGGGTATACATAAACGTACACATGCTAAAAGAAAATCAATTAAGTCGCGGTTGGTATCATGAGGACGATGTAGCGATCCTAGTCGGATCGTAATTAAGCGCCTCATCTCGTCGGCTTATCACACTCGCCCGCGTTGCAAACTCAGCTTGGCGTTTGATTCGCGTGGCCAAAGATTAACTAGATTCTAGTTGACCGACAGAGATGGTAGCCGTTCACTCTCCTCACCCTCATAATAGACGACGCCTGCTGACGAGCCTTGCGTAAGCCTATTAAGCAGGCTGCATTTACCGTTTGATATCCAAGACCGGATAGAACATTCTAGTTTCTCGCTGTATGGCTTTGAGTGTGTGTATGCTTCTTTACCTTTTTTTTTATTCCGTTTCTTGATCTATATTTGTCTGCGTGTATGTGACGGGACGAAAGTAGTTCGCTATTGTGTAATATTACGCTTTGCCTTAATAGTTGTTCTCGACAAATTTGATAGAGCGTGTAATAACAGCTGACCGAGTGGATAACCATCGAATTTTCTATTTCGTGTCAAAAAACACTGATGCCAGTACGCTCACGTTTGTTTTGCTTTCCACCAACGTATGCGTCGCTTTTCCCTGGGTAAGGCAGGGCCGTGGAAGTCATTTTAGATACTTATCTGATCTAACAAATCTGATTACACCAAACAGTCAGAATTCTTTCTTGAACACAACAAATAAACTGAAATAAAAATGCTGTACATATTGGTTGTTATGCAAGACGCTATCAAAAGGAAAAGAAGAATGAACCACTTCCGTCGATCTGCACTTTATTCTGTTTCAAAATGTAAGACTCACTTCCGAGCGGCCCAGAAGGAAAGAAAAAAAATGTAAAAACTGTGTGAAATACGAGCAGCCGGTGCGCTATGCATCCGCCTGTGCAAAACTTTCATCGCAAGTTTGGCATACTCCCAAGCAGTAAAAGAGCGCACATCAGTATGCAAAAATTACCTGACTGACTTTGAACAATATAATGTAAAAGTAACTGCATGTAGTGCACATTTTATTTGTACAATGGAAAACATATGTATATGTACATCATACCGTGTGATGCATAAATGTATATATATATATAGTGAGCGGTAACCTTGTAAAGAAAGCAGCTCGACCTTGCGTAACAACTTGGTTATAGGGTATCCTCTCGCTCTGGTGCAAAGTGAATGTGACCGGCGCGTGTACGCGCGTACTGTATGGTGCACCACCGCCAGAGATTACCGCCACGCGGATTCATCATTGGGGCAGCATATTATACACGCCAGTGAACGTCGTCGCACGTGTACGCCACGTCGGGATGTGGCCCAGCGTTAAGGAAGGGGTAAAGGCTATATAACATCGCGGAAGAGTGCTTTTCGTTTATAGTGTTACTTACAAACTCGACCCCGCATGCAGTGCACAAAACATACGCATACGACTTCTACTACTTTATAACGCATTCAATCGAGTCAGGTGTCAAGTGCCACGCGCATAGATTTCTGTTTTGTCATACTTCGACGTAGCTGCACTCGTCGATTGTTACCGACATGGTATGTAAATTATTATGTGTTGATTTGGATGTGAGACTGCAGGTTTATATAAAGCATGGTTACGAATTTACAAAGAGATACACGTAATGTTATTCCTTTTATATTTCCATTGACATTAGATTGCCCTGCCTCTTATTTTCGCTGTTTGGATATCCTGTCGTACATAGCTGCTATTTTGACTGATATTACCAATATTGATATTTGGTATACCACTGGTACCAATATTGATATTGATATTTGGCTATTTTGATTGATAATACCAATATTTCAATACCGGCATGGTACTTTTAATTTTTACCGCAAAAACTATGTTCTTCAAGAAAAAATTATAGGTACCAAGATAGGAGGGTTTAAGAATGCAACTTTTATATTTATATAAATAAAACGACTGATTGTTGAAAAATTTTCACGATATTATTCGATATAATTTTTTTATTTCAGAATAATAATATGTAATATATACTCATACGAAGCATTATAGATTACTTTTTTCTTATCGTCATACTTTAAAACGAGATGATACTTTAGAATAAGATACTCTTATGTCATATACGATTAAGCAATATTTTATAATGTTTTTTTATCAAATACAAATAAATGTATGGAATAATAAAACTCTAGAATAAAGAAGTTACAGTACAATGGATGTTACTTACAAATGCAAGCTCCAAGATGGGGTGAATAAATTTATATATTGCGAAATCAATATGCAAGTAGATTAGCTTTATAATAGAAATTTTGGCTATAAAGTTATGATATGTCTAATTCCAATTATTGTTATCAACAAGGTTATTAAATAATTTCTATGACTACTTTGTTCTTGTGGATGTATTAATAATTTTTTATTAGAAAAAATCGTCAATCTTGATCCTTTGTTTATAAATTATTTTGAAAAGTTTTACAAGTATGTTACTACAAATTTATCATTAGTATCGATACAGAATATATCTATAGTTTTAAATTTATCATTAATATAGATAATGATTATACTCATAGTAATCAATTTTAAACCAACTGCTTGAAAGTTCAAATAACATTTTTCAATTAGTTACTATATATGTTTAGAAAAACAGTAAAGTAAAAAGAAATCTTTGAGTCTACTCACGCATTAAATATCACCCAAACTATCGTAATTCATTCCAAATGATCGCTCTTAAAATTTGCGAAAGTTAAAATTGTTATGAATCAATGATCTGCATAAATTATACCAAAGATCAACTTTCCTCTGCATTGTTTGTGTGAAATTTCGATTCATATCTTGAGAAGTAAGACCTGTCAAATGCAACGCATTTATCAGAAATCTTGAAAAAATTGAAGGTTTTCGCGGATACCATTAAGACAAAAAAGTCACAGAAGAAAATTTATCTACAGCACTTGTTATTGTGTATCTCGAACTTTTACTTACTGGGAGTGTCCGAGGGATTCGCCAGATGTCCAAGTTTATTGACCCAGAACTTTACTTAACAGTGAAAGTAAGAACGCCGGACTTCAAATGATAATACTACCGCTCACGTACCTACTTACCGTACAAAAATTCTGTCGTTAATCACTTGAAAGTTTTCAGGACAAAGCCGTGTTGTATACCCTGTTGGTTAATTTATTTGGCAAAACCGGTCCCTTAATAACGTGCAGAAATTTCATTTCGAACTTTTACTTTCTTTTCACACCAATTTTTGATTTAAAAATCGTACAACCTTTTACTCTATATTGATTTCCAAGCTATCTGTACATTATGAAGTTTGTGATAATATTAATTTGAACAGTTTTTATTCCAAAGAAGAATAACTTGGTGGCTGCGAACTGTGAAGCGGGAAAGAAAATTTACAGTCACACGTAATATCAAATTGTTAAAACCCTATATTTGCCCGTTAATATTGTTTTCTTTCCTTTTCAAAACTAATCTCAACCAATAGCTCAACTAGGTGTGAATTTTCGAAAAATTGTTTTGATCATTTGTGGTAATTGATTACAACACTCAAAGTATTTATAACGATTACAATTCCACTTCTAAAGAAACCAGAATGTAACGTAGAGTCTTTAACAATTATAGAAGTGGATGTACCTGTTGCCGCTGCTACTGACAGCAGTGTTATGTGAGACGAAGTTGAATCCAAGGGAAATCAGAGATCATCAACGCGTCGAGAATAACCTCGGCAAAAAGTCGTCTACATCTGAAGAGTTACGCGCTGACGAGTCTAAATATTCCGCCAAGGCGGAAGTCGTCGCCCAGCAATACCACGCTCCAGCTGCTGCCGCTACTGCTGCTACCGCTACTGTTGCTACTGCTACTGTTAGTGATGTGGCTCCCCAGGAACTTGGCAATCAAGTTGGAGATTACGCGGAACTTCAGTCTTATGAAAGTTTCAAATACGCGGTAAATACCTTTGCACTGCATATTGCTAATTTACGGCACAATGCTGCTTTGATGACTGAGATGCGGTGTAGCGCGAGGCTCAAAATTAAATTGCAAATTGGTGAGCTCTCGCGCGCGCAAACAGAACTTTTATCCTACCAAGGTTGCGTTCTCACTCGTGGACTTTATTTAATATTGTATGTAAGCGATGAAAGTTTCAAAGTTCTAAGGTGAAATGCCTGGCGCAGGTTTTTTTTTCTTTTATTTTTTAATTTTTTTCTTCTTTGGCGGTTCTGCATTACGAGGCAGAACTGCATATATGCGAATAGTCTTTTCAACGTTAACGTGGTTAATTTTCAATTATTTGGAATGACGGAGATTCATATTTCTTCGGTAAAATGAATATAAATTTGAATTTTTTTTTTCTATTAGCAAGAAAAATAAGTTTCAAATCCCGTGTAAATATTTAACGGGAATGTCGTACATTAGTTGTCGTACTCGGTGTATTTTAATGGAAGCTGAATTAAATTTTTTGTTTCAAAGCAAATGTGCAAACGCACCAATGCAAATTACATAGATACATTATGTGCAATAACCCAATATAATACATCCACACTGTATAATATTCCATTACAAGAAAATCTAGCTAGGTAGCTTTGAGATATATTTTTTGTTCAAATTTATGACAAACCGTGACATTTTTGTGTTAATTATCTAGTAATCAAAATATTTCTTAAACTTGTCGTATATTATATTCTATAGCGAGTAGATATTGATTGGTATAATTATTCAATGTTATAAATATAAAAATTTGACAGCCGGTAAATCAGCAGCAAGACTACAGTCAAAATAATAACGACCCATCGGCGTATTTGCAACGAAGCCCACTCGTGACAAGTGCACCTGAACAACAGCATACACCTCAACAGTACTACATACAGGAAAGTCGAAATTCTCAAAACATCTATAATACGCCTCAGCAGCAGCAACTTTATCAGCAGGAAGTGCTAGTAGGAAACCAACTGCAAAGTGTGCAGCAGAAAGCGGCAACACAAAAGTACACAGATGGAAGCAATGATAAAGGTACCTACTTCATGAAACTACGATTCATTCATATTCTTATAGAAAGTCCTATATACTTTAGTTGAGTAAACGCTTTTCTACTTTTCAATCTTTCTTATTAGGTTATTTTCAAGCCGTATTTTTATTATAAATTGAACCTATGTAAGCACACAATCTACAAGATTCTAATTTAATGTCATATTGTATGTTCTTAAAATTTGCTGCAGTTATTTGTGCTGTTCACTTATTTAAAATATTTAATAATAAGTAATAGTCGGTATATCAAAATTTTAAAAGTAATACATTGCTCGGTAAAATTATCTGATTAGTTTACCGGAATAATATAAACGATGGCATTACAATCGCACGCAGTTGAATACGTGAGGATTGCGAAACAATTTACCACCGAAAACAATATAACTATTCGCAACTGCATACCTGCACGCATGATTTATGTTTACTCATGTGCTTTCCTTTGTAGGTATTTACTACGTAAACATACCGATGAGCCAGTTACTCGCTTATTACCAGAATTACGGGATCGTCCAGTCTAGAAGCAAGAATGCAGAACAGCAAGCTCCCATCCCTCTTTATATGCCAACATTGACCCAAAATCAAGTTTATGTTCCTGAGAAAGTTGCATACCAACCTAAACTACAATACGTCTTGGCAGATTCGAAACATATGCAGCCTATAGTCGCTAAGGTGACTAAATCTACTAAAATTGTCTCAATTGTCTTATTTCGCGTAATCGAATCTTATTTTATGAATGAGCTACAATTGCACAATTAGATAGATTATATATTTGATTTGAATGTTATCCTGCAAGTTTAAGTTTTGTTTGAATATTTCATTCGTCATTTGCAAACTCAGATAACAGAATAATACGGAATGATAGCTAAATAAGGCTTAGTTAAATAACCTGATTTTTCTTTAGTTTAATATTCTTTTTTTTATTGTCCATCGTTAAGTACGTCACTAAAATAAATTCAATAAAGTGAAATGCATAATGATTGAGACAGGAAATATAAAATAATTTATAATATCTTTGATTACGTTACGCCACTTTTTCTTTCGCGCTAATAAGAATAATTTTCAATATTCAAATAGGATTTCTATTTCTATCTTACAAAGCATAATTAAAAATGGAAGAATGAAATCATTATGCACAACATAATTTATCAGAGATATAATGAAACGAGAGATTTATTTAATCAAACACAAATATACGAAAACATATTCACTTATCGGTTTTCTTACTGTTATCTGTATTAAAATGAAAAATACCTTTCAGTAACAGAGTTACAAGCAAAGTACCACGTATTAGTTAATTTTCTCAAAAATATTAAACATATTTTACGGGAAAAGGTATATAAGAGATGATAGTAGGAGCGTAAGACAGAGAAGTAGATCCGAAATGAATCCGGGAAAATAGGTCATTTTATATACATTTAATGATCAATTAAGCAAATACTTTTTAATAAATATAAATCAGAAAACACTTTATGGCGTCGAATTAAAATTATCTAAAAAAATACTATATTAATAATTTAACAACCTAATAATTATGGTTTTAATTTTTCAGTTATCATCGCCTTCAACACGTTCGCATGCAGCTCAAGCAGCGACTGCACCGGCTCCTATTCACCAGGTTCCTGCAGCAAGCCACCAGCAATACACTGAATCAGGAGAATTATTGGCTGCTCCAACTTATGGATCTGCTTATCAGCCTCAAAGATATCAGTACATAACGATACAGCAACCCCAATCTCAACAATACATGCATCAGTATCAACAACAACAGCAGCAACAGCAGATTGTATACGAGAATGCTCCAAACTCTTACCAAACTGACTCTTTTAATGAGCCTGCGACCGCTTATAAGCAGGATAATTTTTTGTACGAACAGCAGCAGCAATATCAACCGCAACCGCAGCAGCAGCAATATTACGTACCGACTGCTATTGCCGATCAGCTTACTTCCCAATTATTGCATCAAACAAATCTTCAAAACTCTATTGAGACTGCCCACCCACAAAGTATTGAGGTATGGAAAAGTATAGTTTTTAACAAAGGAAAATCTTTAGTGATAATTTTTTCACGTAATATAATTCATTGGCTGCATAGCGTATACTTTTCTACAAGGCTTTTATTATTATATAGTGAATATATTGCAAATTATTAACAGAAATCAATGATTTTTATATAACAACTATTTTGCATATTTAAAATATTTAGTCATGTCGTACCAGACGCCAATATATTTAAAAGCAATCAAATCAAGGGCACAAGAATTACCAAATAAACCACAAATCATTTAACCACAATAAATTACGTAAATAACCATTCACTCATGCGCGAATTTTTTTTCGTAGCAAGAACAGCTCGAACTACTTCAAACGGAATTTACACCCCCACAATATCAAGCGCAACAATTCCGTGCAAGTCAAGAAATAACTCATCTGGTCCCGGTTTCTAACGAACATGAAGGTTTCTTATCCAAGTCAACCTATTCATCCATGTCGCACTCGTCACAGCCGAAAACACTACTAGATAGTTACGTTCCGAGTCATGTCATAGCTGCGCAAGATTCTCAACGGTATGTACAATTACGGAATTATTTCATTACTTGATTAATTTGAACTCCCCTCTCTCTCTCTCTCTCTCACTAAGTTATTGTTTTTTATCATATTGTAATGCTCATGAAGAATTTTTTGGTAAAAGAAGTATAAGTACTTTTTTGCAATTCAAGTGCAAAGTCAAGTTCATACAATTAATTGTGTATATCTAATTAAAAATCTGATGTTATGTTTAATTGCAAGATAAATATTTTATTACATATTAAAAACATATATATTATTCAAGATATCTCATGTACTAATGAAGGGAATGATATTTACAACGAACTGAATTTATAGTTTATAATGAGCATCATTTACACTAAAATTTTGAAAAACCGATTCATATCTTGAAAAATATTACTATAATAATTATAATAACAGTCATTTTTTTTATAAAATTTTCTTCAATGAGGAAGCAATAATTGAAAATTATTGTAGCAAAAATTAAGATATTACCGGGAATCAAATCACTACTATCTGAATTTACAAACTTAAAAGATGTATATTCGTGAATATAAAACATATCTCAAATAATACAGCAATAAGATTACAAATTATAACACTTTCTGGATAGTAAATAACAATATATGTATTAAAACAAACAATCTTTTAAAAGTAATGACGCACATTCATAATTATCAGACCAAATATACTGAACTGAAAATATTCTTTGCTTCCAAAGAAATCATTACGAGTCTGACATGAAAATTCATAGCAGCCCTCATTAAAAATTTCAATTATTTCAAACAATTGAAAGACTTGAATTAAGATTCTGAGCTTGAATGAATGTTGAGAGGGGGGGGGGGGGGGAGAGAATAGATATTGCTTGGCGTAACGACTGAATAGTTGATTGCTTTCTTAGGTACAGAGAAAGGCCAATTAAACTCGAGAGTGGTTTCCTACCGTCAAAGATAAACTTTATAGGATACAAGAAACGCAAAACCGAGTGAGACGAGAGTGTCATTGGCCCAGTTCATTATGAAAAGAACAAATGAGAAAGATAGATAGATAGATACAGAGAGAAACATGAGAGACTACGAACAATTACGCCACATGAAAAATACGAGAAAGCAAGGACTATTCAATTATCACGAAAATTGACAGAAGGTGATAAATTACCGAAGCTCGGATGTTATCATTTTACACCTATCGACAACTCTAGTAGTTACTCCTTGTTCTCTCAGTTGGATTGCATATCTAGTCGTTATAGAAAAACAATATATTCATTTAACATCTCTTGCATCATCCATTCATTATGTTCTCAGTCTAGTACTTACTACGTTTTTTATAACAATGTTTTATTTTGTAATAAATTTATTTATAAAGCAAAAGGAATGATTCACTTTTAAGAATTGTAAACTAGAATATAATAATATAATGGTATATTATAAAAACATATTTAAACGACTATTTAGAAGACTTAAATATTAGTGTTGAAAAATTTAACAAACATATAATTGCAGAATACCTAAAACGAGGCGTTTTAGGTAGACATGAAAATAATATAAGAACATTTCTGATTCCGTTTCTTTTTGAAAAGTTACATTTTTAAAAGAGCTTTGGATTTTTTATTATACTTTATATTTTGATATGAAGCATATCAAATTAAAATATCCAAAATATTTTTACTATGATTAGCTCAAGAATAATATTTTTATTTTTATGGAATAAGATTATTAATCTGTTTACCTATCATAATAATCTACTTATATTTCTTACCTCAAGATCAATTGATGGAATGATAATGATTATAATTCGACAAAAAACGAAGTGAAATGGTTGAGTCTTTCTCAAATTAAAACAAGTTCTCATTATAAATTACGCAATGTTTCGCCGTTTACGTTTGCAGCATCATCAGACACTAAATTTACTACACAATATATTAAATAAAAAATATCCATTTTACAGATATGGCAAAAAACAATCAATATGTACAATACAACGTTTTTGTCAAAATTCGCATAATCTCATTAGTGGAAGCATAGTCACCTCATCATAAAATAAAAAAAAATTGTTTGTATAAAACATTGTATTGTATAAGTAATAATCACAATTAATTATCTCATCAAGGATAATAATTGTATTTGTATTTAATCATATTAATATCAGTAGTTAATTTTATGATCTTTCTATGTTTAAAAAACAGAAAAGTATAACTTTTTAATTATGTATTTTGATTGGTCCAATTGATTTGATATAATAGTTACCTTTTATTTAAATTATATCGAAAGGTTTAATCGAGCTTAGGAATTTTTATTTATTTTTGCACCTTTACTAATTTTTATGCCATAGTTGACCTTGTTTAATATTTATTCCGATAAGTTCTTTCTTTATTTCTTTGTACTACAGAGGAGTTTGATGAAAAAAACTCAACACTTCCTTATATTTTATTTTGTAATTCATTGTAATCGCAGTTTTCATATTGAATACATTTTTGAGCAAATTTTTCTTGGGAAATTAAATGAGCATAATAATTAATACAAGCTTGTATTGATGATAATGAAAGAGGTAAAAATGGGAAAACAAACAGACAAATAGATTTAAAAAACAGATTTGAAACTCTGTAATTATAGCTTATTATGTTACAGAAGACCAGGCGTGGAGGCATTAATTACTTTCTCGCCCATTTCAGCAGTTTTAGGGCCCCTATATAGAATTAATATATGCTGAAAAGTCTACTAGGGGCAATTCAACAAGTAAAAGTCTTCAGGAAAGCGTACGCCGCCAGATTTCATGAGTATAAAATAGAAAATCCAATATTTTCGCTATTGTTTTGTACTCTAACCGCATATGTGCACAGGAAGTAAAGCGTATCAGCCTAGTTAACTGCATATCATCAGCATTATACAGCGATGCACTTCTCTATCTTAGCGGAACTCGCCATATAAAGCTCTACTTTTTCTTTCGCACACTCAAAGTGTATTTATCAGTATTTGAGTTTGTTCATGAGTATCATTTGAGCTAAGTGTGCATAAAATTGAAAATTTTTACACATTATTTTGATTTCAATATATATTAGTAGATGAAAAAGTTACAACTTTATTAAAAATTACTTCGCAATGATTGTATTCTATGTCAAACTTCACACACACACACACACACACACACACACACACACACACACACACACACACACACACACACACACACACACCAGGCTAATTTTTATTAGTTTGTAAAGCCATTTTCAAAATCAATGAACGCGTACTTAAAGTAGTAAATTTAGAGGTGCTAAATTTCTAAAAGTAATTAATCTTTAGCTTATCACATGTACGTTCTTTCATATTCGTTACATTCAGAATAAAAAATGAGTAGTCTTTAACTGAATATGTAAAATTATCTTACATTTCGGACTGTGTAAAAAATTATATCCTTCATCGCTTATTTCATTACTTGTAATCCAGCATTATATAATTTTAAATTTACTATACTTACATAAAAAAAGCTTAGTTACTACAATGTCGCGATAAATATTAACAGTAATTGGTAGTTAATTACATCACTATTATATAGAAAAGTTAATATTTTTCATTTCTTTTTAATTTCTGTTTTTTTTCTATGTTTTAATAGAGGTAATAGATAACTAAAAGTGCTTGATTAAGAAAAAATAAATTATTTTTCGATACATCTTGTATTTTAACTATATCGTTTTAAATATCTCGTAGAAAATAAAAACTTCTAACGATTTAAAAAAATGATCACCTTACTATCGAAGCGTATAATTTCGTTTCTACAAAATTTTATTAAATTATACTTACATAGCTTTGATACTTATGACTTTGCGTATTGATCGATTCGCCTGCGGTTCATCTAGATTGATGAGCAAAATTGTGGTGACAATTCGAACAGAGAGAAATATAGATTTTCAAATTATTTTATTACATTATACAGGCAACTTTTCACAAGTGCCATTTTATCACAAAAGTTTGAAACATCGATAAAAAAATTCAGCTTACAATTTAAAGTCTTCCTGAAGCAACTAAGGTGGAATTAAAAAATCACATAGTTTATTTATAAACGGCAATCTCCAAAAATAATTAATTCGTCAATCGCTTATTCAATTACTTTTATGGATTTTTTTAATAGTTTTTTATTCGATGCGCAAAATATTAATTATGTAAGTTCAATTTTCATGCGATTCCTTTGGCAAAGATATATACTTCTTCAGTTAAATAACTATCATTTTCCAACCGATAGTTAAATCATATAGACAGTCAAAGAACTTATATATTTTTAATTGTATTTGATTTGAATAACTTAAAACAGTAGGGTAGAAATAAAATTATATATAATACATAAAAATAAATAAAAACCGGTCATATCACATCCTTTGTAGATCCACCGCTAAGAATAGAAAGAGAGAGAGAGAGAGAGAGAGAGAGAGAGGGCAGAGAGAAAGCGAGAAAGATATACATACAGATTTGAGAAAGTTATAAATATATAAGTTGAGTCAAGTAGCCACAGTCCCTTCAAATTATTGAAACGTATATTACCGTGAATTGATTGGATAGGTTAATGACTTTAAACGATTCATATACCCGGTAATCTTATAGTGACTCTCAGTCTATTCTACTGATGGTCATTGAATATACTTCTTTTCCGTGTAATATTTTCACTTCTAAGGATACAAATTAAATGCCATAGAACATCCGCTACAATTTTCACATGCAATTATATTTAATAAGTATTTTAAATTATTAAGTATTTAAGAAGACGATAATTCTTCTAGAGTAGCGAGTAAAATGAATCGATTCTAATTGAGGAAATGATAGTATAAATTTCACTAAGTGCAAAATATTGTAGATGAGAGCTCGTTAATCTATAACTATTTCTTGTCATATTCTACAAAAATTAAATCTATTATTATCAAAAAAGTTGTCTATTTTTTATTTCTTATGAAATACAGGATACGAGATTTTTCTTATAATTTAGAAATCTAATTTGTTAGCAGAACGTTCCATATTTTAGAGCAGATAATGCATCAAAATAAAAATAAACAATAACATAAAACAATCACATATTTATGTATTATTTGACATATAAAAATTGATTCTTTAAAATTAAAATAGCAGAAGATATTTGAATTTTGAGCAGTGAAAATATACAAAGTATATATTCTCCATTTAAAATATTCATGATACTGTAAAATGTATTCTTAATTAAAAGTCTACTTTAACAATTAGTGTGAAGTGAAATTATGACTATAAAAGAGTATTCATCTATTTGAAAATATTGAATTTTAAATTTAGATTAGAATGTTGTAAATAATTGCTGTACTTATCGTGAATGCTTTGTGTTAAACAAATTTTATTGTGATGTTTATTTCAATATACAAACTTTATAAAAACTTGTCAAATAACGGATATTAATACAAATAAAAATACCGCGACTTTCAGTTATTTCACGAGTGATTAACTGCTATGAAAGTTTTACGTAAACGTAATTACTATTGTACTGAAATTGTCACTTTAATAGTTTATTAAAGTTGGTGTTGTGACGTCGGGGTCACTCTCAGGTACGCTTGGAGCAAGCGTAAACTCAGGGTTGCTCTGATTTGGCTATCGTGTAACACACAAGCCGGGACGAGCAATATTGTTGCGTTGAGAAAACTGTATGCTAACGGGGAATGTAATAACCAAATGTTATTACGAACACACCAGACTCACGCTTAATGTGTTCTTAAGGGACTTTAATGGAAATTCACCAGACTCACGCTTAATGAATTTCCAAAAGAAAGGCGGATTACTTAAAGAAAGAAAAGGATAGCCAGGTTTAAGATTTTACTTACTTTTATTTTATCAATTTAGTTATTATTAATGTTGCGTTCTCTCTCTGCTCTTTGGCCTCTTTCTCTCTCTATATGTTCTGAATATAGTTGGGTGATTTGATGCTTGCTCCGGGACTCGCTCACTAGTAAAAACTTCTTATTACGGACTTCCTGGTGCTCACTCCGCACTTACTCTATCTGAACTTGACTTCCTCTAACTTAACTGACTGAACTGAGCTTAACTTCACTTAACTTCCTCTCCAGCCTTGTACAGAGCTTTTTATAAGCCGTGGGTGGTTGGGTGGAAATCCCTTTCCTCAGGCCCATGAAGCGATAACGGCTAAATTTTGTATTGGTCGGAAATTTTCTAATCATATCCAGAATTTCTTTATTGGTCTGTGGGCGTGAATTTTCAGAGAGAGAAAGGGCGGTCCCTTTTTAACTTGGGCCCTTTTCTCCAGAGATGGCTCTCGGAGTGCCACTTTTAAGAGCAAGAGTAACGCTATAGCTTATAATTACTTATACATAATTGTACTAAACTTAATTAATTATGACGATACATAGTGACTATTATGAACATTCAGAAAAATTCAAACCTTTTACGATTTATTATAAAATACATTATTGTTCTATTTATTGGTTATTCGGTGACAAAAAGGTGCGCATTATAATGGCTTACAAAATTGATGAAAATCTATTTAATATTACGGATATTTTCTTAAAAATCGGTGGGAAAAAAAAAGATAGATTGCATTTTTATGGTCCCCTTCCATTATCGGCGTGATAACACTTCACGATGTATACGCGATGATCGTAGGCCCCTGTCAACACATACGTGTGGGACAAAGCAGGATAGAGCGTTGATTGTAAGCTTGAGTACGCAGGCTCGGGCCACTATCAAAGTTTATATTTCGAATGCGTTTTCATCGTGGGAAATCAGGAAGGTTCCCACTCCGTTCGTCATATTTAATAATTAAATATAAAAAAAACTAAGTTATGGCTAGCCGTCACAGTGTCGTAGAATTTATTCAAATGAGTTCCTGACTTCCTACGTAACTGACGTAGTTCTCGAATTTCTTGAAACCGTAGTTCATGTCACTAAATATGGAATTTCCATGGAAATATGAATAAAGGACTGTGTATGCGTACCTAAATTGTATATATTATCATTATGAGTCTGCTAAAATATCTCACTTTATAATAAGTTACTTTTACCTATAAGTAATATATATTTTAATAAAAATATTCTAATAAAATGAAATATATTTAATAATTATAGTAGTAATCTTATAAATAATATATAAAGGTTACCTTTATGCAGCGTAATATCACTTATTTTATTATAATTATCTACAAAATTTTAACTATAGTACAAACAGTGTTATGGAATTTTCGAATTGTATAAATTAAAGTTACATAACATTTTTTTTTAATAATAATATATCATAATGTTCTAATCATATTATTTTATTACATGTTGAAATGAATCTGGCGATTTCATATGAAAATAAACATTTTGGTTAAACGACCGATATGGCGTATGAGGAAAATTCAAAATGAGGACATGAGGAGTATTACGTACGCCCGATTTGTTCACAATTATCGCAAATCTTGTTCCGGGTAACCTTGAAGTCGTATACAATTTTTTCAAATCATGATTTAGTAATTTATCGTAATACTCGTGGAGCTATTTATTTAATTTGATGCTTCTTATACGTAGAATAGAAATTACATACATAATTGATAGATTTGTATACTATTTATAAATCTCTTTATTTGAAAATTTTTGTATTCCAGTAAAATTTCACCATAATGAATTAGTTAAAATAAATAAAAATTTTCATTTGCTTTATGCAACAGTAATAGTTATCTGAAAAACTGTACCAGCCGTTTATATGGTAAATCCTCATATTTTGCACTTTACATTTCATTGGTTGCTTTATATTCTTATTATGATTTAATTAAATGTGCTTTTTTTATTATTAAATAAGAATGATTCAAAATAATTTAACAAAAGCTCTATAGTGTGAAAATTTATTTTTGAAAAATAAATTATTATTAGTAAATACAAAAGTTATTGGAAGAATTAGAAATAAAAGCACACATTAGCGTATTATAATTCTAGTTTAAAATCACTTTCTCTTATTGTTTCAATAGAAGTAAATAATTTGAAGATGACATTGTTACAAAGAAATGAATATTTACAAATTTACTTTGGCAATACGATCTTGGAAACGTATTGGCATCAAATTATTGATAGAAATCTCTCAATTTATGAGTTGTGTTTAATGAATCATCATACGATAGAAGATGAAATGTAAAAGATAAAAAAATCATTTATTATTAATGACAAAAGTTGAAAGCTTGAAAGTGAAAGAAACCAGATCCACGTATCAATTATAACGTGACTCTGCGTGATGACCACAATCGTCCACTTTTCCCCAAGAGCTGAAGATCCGGAGCTCGATGGGCAAAATGTGCGTTCCGCAGATCCACAGTCTTTCACCGAAGCGTAAAGACTGTTGACAAGTAGTAGCTTCTGCAACGAGCGAGGAAGCAAAAGTGGAGGGCATATAAGGTGGGATGCTGCGCAGCCTCATCAGTCGCGGATCGTCACACACGCGACCTGTCTTTCGTACCGTTAGCACGCACGCATGTTCTGCGACAACATGAGGCTCGTCATACTGCCGGCCCTTCAGGTAAGCACTGTATACACCCGTATACTTATATAACACAGTCTTTCCTAATAGGTGGTATTCCGTTACACAGCTCTATGATTTTTTTTTTCTTTTTTCTTCCTCTTCTTTTTACTTTTCCGCATTGGTGGTTCCGGTTTTAATGAGATGCCGCGGGTTTCGGGAAGTTGACTGTATATACGACTTGTTCTTCAAGCGCTTTATCTTCCTTTTTGCTTTGCCCATAAGCTGGCGGATCGCCTTTCTTTTCTTTTTTTACTTCGTGAAAAGTTGCTTTCCGGCTTGCTTGCGTACCAAGTTCCACTGCGTTGAACTGTATTATGAAACTGTGTCGTGTTGTAGTTTTTACACTGATATTTAGCTTTGTCGAGTGCTGCTTGTTTTCTAGCAAGTTTGCCTTTTGTGCAATTTGTTCCGCTTAAGATAAATTATTTCGCAATCGTTGATGTACGTTTAGTATGGAAAATTGAAAGTTTCAACTTGGTGACTCAACATAAAATTTGATTCCAATAGTTATAAAAATAAAAAAATAAGAGATTTATTTCTAAAATATTTCTAACAATAAATTGCTATTATGAAAAGATATTATAAGATCATTTTTTCTTATATTCAAATTTTATTTAATTAGAATGTAAATATATCAATTCGAATATGTGTACCAAACTCGAACGATCAGTCCTAGTACTTCAAAATTTATTTTGGTGATTTCAAATGACGCCAATGAATTCTAATTTTTATAGATGAGTTTTGTTATTACTTGAAATTTTATACTAGAAGATATAAAAAACTGAAATTATTTTAATTTTCACGAGGAAAGAATTTCACATCTGAATATACATGTGGAAAAACGATACATTAAAACCGATGTGCAAGTGTACAGGAAAACGGTCAAGACGCAGCACTTTCACGCTTACAAATATAAACAAGTTTCTATTAGTAACATCAATAACACCGTTTCAGGAAAAGGATTGTGAATTCGCCGATTTTCTTATTGCTTCTTAGGCAGACTCGAATGGATTCATTACTTATCTGTCAATTGCAATTCATGTTATTGTATTTTAGGGAAATCGCGTTACGTACATACATTTCGGATTTCTATTTTGAAATATTGTTGTCCTCTTATTTTAATACACTATCGTCTTTGTAAATATAGAATTGTCGTTATTTTTTAATCTATCACAAAATCCTCAAGCATATAATTGGTTTGCCATCTAATCAACATAAAATCTTAACGCTTTTTAAAACTAGAGTTATAATTATAGTAATTATATTTGTGCTTTTTATCTGATGAAATGTAATGTGCTCAGTTTTTATAAAAATTAATTGACCGTCGAGTAAATCTGCAAAATTTATCCTATCCTAACGGAAACTGAAAGATATCTACGTTTATGCGTAAACATCAGTGATTATTGATTATCCATCCCGATAAATTTGAAAAACAATTCTAATGCCTATGTCAAATTTCGTATGAAAATCTTGACTCTCAATGAAATGTTTCTTTCTCTAGTAACACATCTACATTTCTCTTTTCCCCTAATCCATGCACTTTTCACGCTCGGATCACTCGATTAATTATGTATTCAATGAGAGACCATGAGCCTTTGACGGACGGTTACGCAGCGAACCTCTTAAATTACACATGCATGCCTTAATCGGGCGCCAGATTATTATCGCGGCACGCGTTCGCATGTTGTAATGTAATTGTTCATTGACTTGGCTTCGGAATTGAAGGTTGCATGTGCTATGCGTGTCTGCAATATGTCAGTGACAAGGTGAAGGTGAACAGTTCATTCACCATATCTAGTTTTGAATGTCAGCTAAACCGTTAGTTCATTTTTTTTGTATGATCCTGAAGTCGCAAAACAACCGTTTTACGTAATTATTTAATAATACGTGATCACTACCATTGAATAAAAAAATGTAATAGCACTCGCCGCGCATGAATACAATCGTAAAATTCGATAAGTGAATAATGATCTCGTGAAAGCTTGGATTATTCCACAGAGAAAGAATGCTCTCCGCGCAATAAACTTGCCATTTAGCACGTCGAAAAAGTAGCAAAATCATGACAAGTGAACGGCTTCCTGAAAGGCAAACAAGTTGTTTTACAGTTGTCCTCTTAATACTGAGCATATTATTCGAAACCAATAACGACGAGCGGAGCTTAGTGGCAAACAGTTCGTCTGCAGAAAGCCAGCTGACAATAACTATCTGGAGAATGGCGTTGACGCGGCGTGCTAAATGCGAATATTGTTTTTCGGCCACTCGCGCGCGCGATTACTTCCTGGAATCGACGGTCCGTAATTGCACGCGCGGAGAAAGTCCCACGTAGCGCGCTTACGGTACACACGTACGTGAGCACGACCAGGTGATAGATGGTGGGGGACGGATGGAGATTCGCGCCGATTAAACATCGCACACGAATTCAAGTGTCGCTGCTCCTGATGCTCTACGCACAACACATACATATACACGTAAATATATATAATACCTCCGTGTATAGTGAAAGTTCGACTTCCAATAATATCGTCATCGCGCTTGTTTCATTCAATGCACGTGCGTCATCGGTTGGATGTCGATATATATGTCGTTGATTAGCCAAGAACTGTGTCTCTTCACACGAGTATGTAGGAGAACGATCGATCTCTGTGTATTTAACATCACGCTGCATTCTTTTTTTCAGTGTCTTTATTTTTGGCCGATTATTGAGTAATGCCGGATGCGATTTTGTGAAACGCTTCAATTATGACCAAGAGAAAACTATGACCTCGGAGTTTCTTTTGCGTTTCGCTTTTTATTGATATTTCTTATTCTTTCTCTTTTTGGGGGGGTTTAAAAAATAAAGAAATTGAATACTTAATGTTTAATTTATGGTTTTGATTGTTACTATCGTGGATAAGTAATGCTTCTGTACCCTTTTGTGGCACAAAGGTTTTTTGGTTATCTTTCGATTACATCTTAATGATCAAATTAAATTTCACTGTTATACAATTAAATTTTTTTTAATGTTTTTTAATTCATTTTGAAGAGTTTTTTATCTTATACTCGTCTTTTTAGTTTCACGATGTAAATTAATGAAATATTTGCGTCCTATCGCAACAATTTTAATAATAATTTTTATGGTAAAACACAAAAATCTAAAGAAATTATTCATAAAATTGATGAGTCCTCTATTCTGTAATTTTTCTTCCACTTCCGTGATTTAAATTATTAATCAGTTTAACGATATAAGCCATTTATGCCTGCTAAGTTTTACTCTTATTACCGTAAATATTTTTCACTGACAATTAGGCAGTCTATTAGGAACGTATAAGGATGCATTTACGTGTTATTAAAAATTATTTAAAGCAATAAATTGTTTCTGACTTGTAGATTTCGTGATGTACAAGTAGTCTCAACTCCTTGTAAGAAATTTTAGTATAAAAAACAGTCATATTTCTATTTGTTGTATCAGTTCCTCATACTAAAAGAAGACTGACAACGATTTATAATATTGAGAAAGTTGCTTAATGCGAAGATCGAATTTCATATAGAATCACAGAAATACGTGGGGCAGATACCTACAGTGACATTAATTATCGCGTGACAATTTCATCGACATTCTATTTGAATTTACTCAATATCTATGTCTTCGTGAAATCTTTTATGGAAAAAATAATCAAAATTAAAAATGATCGAAATTAAAAAAAAATTTTTATTGCAATAATATGTTTATCTGGGCTCATAATGACGTTAATGGAAAAAATAACTAAAAATCGCACTAAGTTTTTGCGCTTAAAATAAGCTACAGCTTCCAAATAGTAGCGAATAGTAACGAATTTTTATAAAATTAATATTTCATTTTACTAATTATCTTTGTTCCTTTTTGGTATTTAATAGATAGTTATAGTATGTTATACTCAAAATATGACATATGTGTGCAATACTATTTCAAACTGTGAGAAATGACAGATATTGTACGATTTTGAATATTGATTTAAAATATTAAGATCTTGCAGCTCCATAAAATTAAGATTGTCAGTAATAATATGCGAAAAAGTAAATTTGTTATTTGGCCTTTTTAGCTAGAAAATAGAGTTATTTTATATAAAATCTCAAAATCATATTTTAACTTTTGTTACCGTATGTGTGGGAGCCAAAGTAACTCAATGGCTAAGATCTTCAGGTCTCTGTGCAAGAAGTTATGGAGTTAAGCCCAAAACATGTACAAATTTTCAAAAATGAAATTTCCATATGCCTATTACTGTGACGCTTGGTAGTTCGAATTCCACTTTAAGCCCTAGGTGCAATCATAAAGCATATAAAAATTCTTCTCTCACATCTTTCCAAAAGTAGTGGAAAGGTGGGTTGCATGCTTCTCATGACTGCAGAGAACTAGGACTAATGCAATATAGATTCCTCTGCAGCATTCAAAACGAACGTAGTTTTTGAAGTAACAGTAACGATTTATTTATACTTGATAAAGAATAATAACATTAACGCCTGTCTTATTTTTCAGGTAATGTGCTGCATTTTACTACATACTTCATGTGTTCTCGCCGTCACGAAAATAAAAACACCAACAAATCATAATAATGAAAAATACGCGAATGAAGAAATACCGAAAAATCATAGAAAGCAACTTAAAGATGAAATTGATTTAGACAATGTCTTTGATGCTGTACCAATAAAAGATGAACAGATTCCGATTCTACCACCAATCATCTTATTAGATTTTGTGAACGGTACTGATGACATATCTAACGATACTTTAGCAGATGAAAAAGCTAAAAGAACTATTGACGATAGTTTAGGTTACGGCTTCAACCGCAACAATCTTTTCTCGGGAAAACATAATTTTTATTTTCCAAGAGGTAAAGAGGCTACGAGTGTAAGTATCGAAGAATCTATTAGTCCTTTTGAACCTAAAACAGTGGCCGAGATCGAAAAGCCAATTACAGAAAATTCCGATGCAGACGTTGCTCAAGAAATACAAAAATCACATAAACCACTATATGAATTTATACCAGAACCACTTCCACTAATGAACAACCGGGATCCTTTGCCACTATATCCACCTTTTCCAATGTTTGGACAACGAACTAAGCTTCATAAAACATCATCTTCTGAATTCAATCAACAATTTCAACGTCCGCAACTGAAATTCGCAAGTTCTTTTAGTGCTACTCCTGGTTCTGATATTTATAACAGATTACTTACAACTTATACATCGATAAAACCAACAGACCAACAAGCTACTCCTACAATTTTTTCAAATCCAACAAATATTCAAAACTATGTCAGACCAATGCCATCGTCTTATGTAACAAATTATATGTCAGATATTCAAGGTAATGGTAATAGTCTAAAATCATCTTACAATTTTCTACCGAGTCCTTTGAGTTCTGAAACTCCAGTAAGTCCTCAAGACTTGGCAAGTTATCCTAAATATACTATTGAAAATGGTATAAAATACGAGCATAAAATAGTTTGGAAGTACCCAGATGGTAAAGTAGCAGAAATTCCACCTACGTCCTATATAAATATGTATTCCGAATATATTAGCAATTTAGCAAAAGCAGGCAGTTTTCGTCCATCACAATCTTATCAACCACTTCCAACGAAATATCAACAATCTATTATTCCTGGAGCTACTTCATACAACACATACACACCTACTGCAGATAATAACATATACTCACAAAAACCGGTGCAGTTTCCTAATGATCAAGATCAGTCTAGTAAGAGTGTTACATCTGGATTTATTTCATCTCCAACAATGAATACACCTATACGGCAAAATGCGGCTGTTAATTCTTATAATTTGCAAAATTATCAAGGTCAGTTTGGTTTGAAACAACATCCTAAAGTTAGTAATTATAGAACAGCTTCAAATCAGTATGATAAATATAGTGCTTATTCAAATAACTATCGACCAGCTTTAACTAACAATATCAACAGTCCCACCACAGAATACTCTTATCCAGCAGGAAGTCAATCAAGTGAAAATCTATTTATGACTGATGGTCAACTCAATAAACAAGTATTATCCAAATATACACCACAGGCCCAAGAATATTTGACTAAAGTTTTTTCCAGTGGTAGAACAACAAACAAAAATGAGTATCAGAATGATGAATTTAAAAACTATGCAAACACAGATTATTCCAGTTTATTGAATTACAATCCATCTATTTTACAATATATAAAAAATCCTGCATCAATATTAAAAGCTCAGCCGACTTTCGTTCAAGCTGGTAATTCATTGATTCCGGTCATTATTCTTCGAGTTGATGGAGCACCGCCTATTCAATCACAATCTACTTCTAATATAAACTTAAAGTCGTTACTTCGCCAATATTTGACGCAGTATGTCAACAGTGTTTCCAAGATTCCACTAAATGCAAATTATAATTCAGGAAGTAATTTTGGTAGTAGTTCAGTATCTGCTCCTCAATCAAATCCAGTTCAAGATATCAAAGAGCTCACTGAAACTTTGGCTTCATTACGTCAACGTGGTTATCAAAATCCATATTTTGCTAATAACTTGACATCTGAGTACATTCCGCCACCACAACAAACACATCAGCAAAATAGTGAGGCAAAACAAGAATTTACTGGACTTCATTATGGCAGTTATTATCAACCATCTTATTCTGAGCAACAAGATAAGATATCAAAGAAAGTTATAAACGTCCAAATTGTTGAAGATCCTAGATACACGTCATATAAAGTTGATAATTAAAAAACTATGTGATATTAGTTAGTGATCGCTTCAAAAATATTATATGTAGATAATTGCTGATGCATTGACTGTAAAGAATAATTCTAATATCTGCTCAAACGATTACTTGCGTCCCATGAATGCTGCTCATTTTAGATATGCAGCTGTAAAAAGTCGTAAAAACTAATTGGCTTTTCTCTATTTGTTTTATTAGATATAACTGAATAGTATATTTATACTTTTTCTTTCATTACTAAATTCTATTTTCTGAAAGTAACTATCAATATTTTGTTCAATTATTTTTATAATTCATCAATGTACATCTCTGCTCGCCAAATAATCCCAACGATAACTTCATTATGTGTATTTGTTTATTGTTATTTATGTACTCAGATTTAATTCGTTATATTTTAGATAGCTAACTATTCGTAAGACCTTGTCAACTTGAATATGCAATACTATCTGACTAGCCACATAATTATATTTTATATTTTAATAGATAATATATTATTTGAACTTTATAATTTGACGTAATCTTCATTATTGTGCAAGTAAACCAGTTACGGGTGATAAACAAGATTTGCCAAATTTTTATACTTCACAAAGGTACCTTATTAATAATATATATTAGTATGTTGCATTAACGTATAGTATAAAATATTAAATATTTACTATTTTGTATATGTACATTACGATAAAGTGATAACAATATTATTATGTATTCATTATTGATTTTATATGATACCGTCTAAAAACTAAAAAAAATAAAAAAAATTTAATTTTTATGAATTATCTTATTTATTTTTATTCATTCAACCAATCGATAATAAATTAATATACATCACCTTGAGTTATTTAAAAACCTAACCATGTTTGCTGCTGTGCTAAGATTATATATACTATTTTCAATACGCGTACATATATATACATGTTATTTGTTGAAAGTGAATCCAAGCAAAAATAAAAATAGTATACAAAGAAAATGAAGCCATCACCATCTACACCCCAGCGTTTGGTCTCAGATTTGTACATTGGAGGACCCAGTTAGCGCCTGACGAGCAGGTCCTGCCATAGTCACGCTGACTATCAAACAATGTAATTATTTTCGAGATACATGTATATTGAGTTCCAAACTTATTCGAATATCGCCCGCGGCTGCTTGTACTCGAGACCTTTCCTCTCCAATGTTCACCACTCGAAAGAACTTTATTTGCACGTCCCTAACTCTCCTCTCTACGTTTTACCTTTTCTCTTTATTTGATGACGCACCCTTTTAGGCCTACTTACATGTGCACGTTCTGATTATCGTACAATTGAAATTTATTTTAGCCCAATTTTAGAAAACCTCTCACCTTTCCATTCGATCTGCGAGGGATATAATTTATTTAAATAACGTCGTCAACACTGTGGAATAATAATACTCCATATAACGATTTGTTAGCTAATGTGATCATGAATAAAATGAGTTCACACGGTAGTCCATAACTTTTAGATAGAAAATATGGAAAAAATTATTTTGTACTCACAAATTTACGAATTTTTTTGTTATGAACATTATGAAAATAAACATCTGTAGATGTAAATTATCCAGACAATATGAGCAATAAATTTAAGTTTGAATTATTATAATTAACCATGAAAAATATTGATTGCTATGGCATGTATGACATGAAAAGTAATGTATAAATACTGTAATAATACTGTATATAATACTGTATGTAATAGTACAGTAAATACTGTAATATAAATTCTGTAAAAAGTAATGTATAAATACGTAATAAATAGTAAAAAAAGAAGATGAAGATATGTCAAGCATATAAGTAATAGATGGTAAAGGAGTTACTTGCATAATTTCTAACAATAAAAATTTAGCAAATTCCAATTTTTATTGTCTGTAAATTTCAAGAACAAAAAGCAATGGGTGTTCAATAACAATATATACAACATGCTATACCCTAGTTAGAAGTAATTATATTTTCCATAAATATACAGCCAGACAAAGTGTGCAAACTGTAGACCATTAGGCCGCAAAGCTATGAGGCGTTGATTATTCTCCTCTGGTTTTACAAGTGAGTTTTGATAGTATCTCCAAAGCTTAAATCAATTAGTCGTTAACGATTTCTATGTGCTATTGAAACACTATAGAATAATTACATATATATTATCTGTATATGTACTCACTTATATATACAGACATTTTTTGTAGTGTGTCGGCAAATATTAAATGATTGTGGACTCTTGTCTCTAAATCCTTATTAGCCAATTCACATCACGGAAGTGTATAAAATTTGAAAAAAAACTACTACTGTAAGGAAATCTGCCATTATATATTGCAAATATTACAAATATTAAGCATTACAAATTTAATATATTTTATATTCTATATATTGTATATTATTTTTCTATTGATTCTAATAGTAATGAATACTGATACGAATAATAATATACACTTCATCATTTGCGTCGTTTCATCCCGTAATTTATTGGAAAAAATGTTTACATTTTTATGAAAATGTACTATATTTTTAAAATCGTTTACATTACGTTTGCAGTAAAAAATCCAGCAGTTTCAAAATATCAAATTATATAAACTATTTAGACTATTTTACAAATTATAGGTTAATTAATAGAACTTTTATGTTTGATGAATTTGTTGAAATTCTTCTAGTTCGAGACTTTATGTACATTTTTATTTAAGAACAAAATATAGGAAATCTTTGTACATACAGATGTTGTTGATAAATGAAAACAGTTCTTACTGTATAAGATGATTCATGTGCAAATTGGAGTAAACATAAAGTAAATTCGTTAAATATACCTACACATATTACAGATCGTAAATCACCTTGGAACGTCCTTTCCACGTGTTCTCGTGGAAATGGACGAAGCGCGATCAGCAAGCGTAATGCGGGCGTTTTAGAGCGCAGAGAAAAACAGCAATTGGAAAAGTAATGTCCAATAAATTTTGATTTGCTTTAATGTGTATTGATTATAGCACACAAAGATTCCAAACATTTTGAAATTCAATGACGAAATAGTTTCAAATTGTGTATTATTTTAAATCATCAATCTAATTGAATTAAAAATAAATTACACATTTATATTTTGATAAATATGAAATTGAAATGTAATTATCGTAGTTAATAACGTACAGTTATAACAATAAAATGAATGATCTAATTTTGAATTTAAACTAACAATATTAGATAAAAATCATGTTATAAAGGAAAGTTTATTTTATTATAAAATTTAACAACTTCACTAATTATTAAGCTAATAATTCCAAAAGACAACTTACTGTCTAAAACGTTTAAAAGATAATTAAAAGATGTTTTACTGATTCACCTCGTTGATAAAATCGAATGCTATTGATCTCAGATTATTCTTGTAAGCTCTACTTTGGATGTTAACAAAAGTAGGCAACGTGAATGAGAGCAGTGAGTAGATAGTTAATAAGCGGACTCATGTGTACGATTTCCTTACGACAAATGAAAATGGAAAGTCGAAATTATCCCACATCGACACGCGGCGAAGGGAAAATCAAGTAGTCCTGTATAATCATCTCTTGTGAGTATGACATGAAAAGTAGGTAAGGCGGTACTCGCAAATACCAGCTCTAGAATCTCCGTTCTTCTCTTTTCTTTTTTCTTGGCTCCTCCTTCTCCTTCTCTCCAGCAGTTTTCATTTCGTTGAAATTCCACGATATCTAATGATCGGGCTGCTGTTATATACACGTACATAGAGTGTATCCTGCCAGACAACACTTATCCGGCCTTGCGAAGACGGCTATTCCTCGCGTGTCGCGAATGAAAGTATCTTCTATGTGTGCGTGCTCCGTCTCTCTTCCCCAGACGATAGTATAATATTTAGAACGATATTTTTCACTTGGTTACCAGAGTGTATAAAGAAAATCGTGCATCCACTTTGTGGCTCAGTTATCACGCAGAGGCTCGCCACGCACTAGCCTCCTCTTCAGTACTGCAGTTTCAGTGAGCACAAGTAATCAGATTATTGTTCATTCATTGCTCGAACTATTGGGTGAAGAACTTTTTGTGAGGATCCAATGTGCTTGCATAATTATTGTGATAACTTTTTACCCGGCGAATGAAGGAATAATCGAGATTTTAGTTTATTTCATCAAGGGCTACAATGATCCTTCACTTTGTAAGTGTACGATAATTTTATTTTCAAAGATTAAATTACATTTTTTCAAAACTTAAATAATGAAATGTAGGAGCTTCAAAACTTATACACACGATGATCGTAATTATTAGGCATGATTGTGCTAAGTTTTTTCTAATTCTAGATGTTTACCTACATACAGAAGCATATATAGTTACAATATTGTTTTATAACGATTAACGTTTCAAGTTGTTAACAAAGTTTGATACTTGCAAAGAAAAATTTCAGACAATTGTTTAATGATCAATTCTCATAATTTGGTTGTTCAACTCTGAATAACTTGTATGAAAAGTAATTAGTTATGTGTAACTTTTTGGAATTTTGTTAAGATAACAATAATAATATATTAGATTGTCAATTGCTATGAAACATACATTTCAATTTACGTATGTGTGCATCAGTAGTGGCCGTGAATTAGTGAGAAAGTCCATGAAGTTTTGGTTCTGTGCACATTCAGTCCTTATTCGTATAATGTACACGTTTGCTCACATTTTACTTTTCTAATCTGCTTTTCTCTTTTAGGTCATTTTCAAACTTTCCATGATATTTTTTTATTTATTTCACAATCTCAGCCTCATTATCTAATATTATTCGAAACTGATTATTCAGTTATTTTTACTTTAATAAATAGCTACGAAATATTAAAATTTTATTCTTTTGTTTTTACGTAACGTAACAGTTTTTCAGGTAAAAAATAATTTGTAAAAATTAAATATGATTTTAGGTGATAACTTTTTTATTCAGTCAGCATATACGGGGAGATGATATAGATAATATTTCCATCGAATCAGTTCTTGATCAAGTGGCAATTCCAACAAAGATTATTGAAGATTTTTTACAAAAACCATCAAAATATTCGACAACAAAAAAGTTTGCTATAAACGAATATCTTGATAGTTCTACCGTGCACTACGAGAATTCAAATGGCTTTGTTCCTTTGATTCCATCGTCACAGAAGCCATATGAATCAAAACAAGAAAACAAATATAATCTAAAACAAATGTATCAAAATCAAAATGATACGGCTCTTTTAAAAATAGACAACACTAAAGACAATACATCATTTCTCAACTTGCCAATGCTTGAACAAAATCGGAGATCATACAGTAAAAATGATAACCGTGATGAATTTGAATTGCTGAAAGTCAACAATGATACTCCCGCTGTTGCTAATTATGATTCAATTTATGGAAACACAAGACCTTCAGTCAAATCAGATCATTATCGTGTCGACGAAAATAATAAAACATCTTTACGAAATAAAAATAGAGAACGAGGAAAACGAATTCAAAACTATGCCAACAACTATGAAGGAACTGAACAATACGGTTATACTGGGAGAATTGAAGATAAGAAAAATGTTGAATATCAAGAAAATCATGATCAAGATATAACAAAAACTTATCGTTCTGGAAAAACATCTTTACCTCAAACTAATTATGCAACAGTAGTTTCTTCTAAGTCTAAAAATTATTCTCCAACCAAAGATAAATATGAACAATACAGATTTAAAAGTCCTATTATGGTTGAACCAAGTAAATATAAAATTGATGTTCAAGTTAATGGGCAGTCTATTCAAGCGGCTGTTTCCACTTCCAGCCCTCATATAAATGCTAATAATCAGTTGAAATTGGTACAGGCAGAAAAAACGGAACCTGAAAAATTTGTTAAACATGAAGAAACAAGTAGAGCCTACGATTATGGTGATTCAAGAGACGTATCCGATGAAAACCAAGATTATATTGACGAAACAGAAAAATCAGAAAGATATCATAAAACAAATCGTAGACAACCTTACAACTTTGACTCGTCTAGAAAATTACCGAAAGAGCATAGAGAATCATATGACGATTCATATGATGATCAAGGAAGAAAGCGCAAAAAATCAAAGTCAAGAAACCGCTTGAACACACGACCTGTACAAACTATTAACGATGATGATCAATATAATGAAGATAATGAAGACAACAGCAATAATCATAATAATAATAAAGATAACAGCTGGACTCAAATTACTCCGAATGTTGAGATTGCTCATTCGAATGGTTTTGAAGTCAATCAAATTGAAAAACCTAAATTTCATATTTTACCTGTCAATATTATATCTAATTTCGACCATGCGACAGCTTTAGACAACAGTCAAGGATTTGATATTACCAATGCTATGATAACTGGTTTTGTACATGATGGCTCACTTAGTACAGCTTCACCTCTATTGAGTTCTTCTCAAAGTTACATGGATCAAAATTTATTACAATCCAGTTCCTCCAAAACATCGAAAACGTCAATATCCGATGTCATAGTCGGGCAAAGTTCTTTTAATAACCCAATGCAAGCAGTCTTAATGCCTAACAAATTACAACAAACTTTATTCAATCAGTACATGCAAAGTACGGTTCCTCCTGCAGTATTTACCATGACAACTACCCCAAGTCTTTTAACTTCATCAACCATTGCACCGAATTTGCAACAGATATTAAATCAAGCGCAAATATTTAACGTAAATCCAATTTATTCCAACAATGAACAAAGAGAAAAAGCTAATTTATATTTAAATGTGCAATCTTCAACTAGCAAACCTAGATCAGACAGAGATAATTCGCGACATAGGAAAAAACATAACAATAATAACAATGGTCAATTCTTGGCTTCAGCAAGCTTATCTGTAGATCAAAACATTCATCGTCATTCTAATCATAGAGATAACCATAAAACTAACAGTTACAAAAAAAATACCGGAAATAGTTACAATACTCATAGTAATGATCAAAATTCGAATTCACAAAACAACCAACAAACAGCAAATTTTAAAACAGTGGTTCAACCAACCATGATCCCAGCAATTTTACATACTAGTATAGGTTTGATAAATGGACAAAATCAATTTGTTCCTAATTCAATTTTAATAGCGAATCCACAACAAAATTCTCAAGTTTTTCAACCAAGTAATTTTTATATTTTCTTTTAATACATACTTATTTAATACTAACAGCTCCGCTATATATGTTTTTTTGTTTCGTAGATATCGATAACGTTAGCGGTGCTAGTACAAATACCAACGTTGTTAATAACCTTGTCAATCCACTACAAAAAGCGCAATTACCTATTCTTGGATCCAAAAATGTTGAGATTGGGAATCCTAATATTGATGCTATTGGAAATATCAACACATTTGCTATTAATCAAATTCCAGCTGCTCTCGTTACTACACCCATACCAATCTTTACAACAACTGGTTTCATTGCTTCTAAACAAATTCCCACAACTTCAGAGCCATCTGTAAGCATAAATATCATTTTTAAACTTATATTATCATATAACTGAAACTGTGTTACAAGTATTTTATTTGTATTTATAGGGGTCAGATAGAACACTCTACAACCCAATTAATTTTGTACCAAATTATGATTTAATGAAAAGTCAATCAATATTAAATACAAATTTTGTTCCAAATGAACAATTTTCTAATCAAAATTTGAACTTAGTACCATTACTTCCTGGCGGTAACTTTTATAAAAATACGCAAGGGGCACAAATTGATTTAGCTAGCAAACCAAAACTCACCTCAGACTTGGAAAAGTATGCTGAAGAAATGTTTAAAGAATCATTGCGGACAATTTATAATACACATAAATGGAACAATGATCCTCGATCACCAGTAAATATAAGTCTTATTGATGACTCGGAATTAGCAAAATTAAGAAATGAACTGCTACGAATAAAAAGTAACATACGAGATTCAAAGATACCTAAAGATGTATTAGAAGCTCATCATACGGAAACTCGTTTTCGTACAGCAAAACCTGGTAGTGATTACAAACGTCCTGATTCATCATCTGAGCAATCTTATAAAAATCATTATAAAAGTCATTCTAAGCCACATAATCATCCTCATAATCATAGACCAAAACTGGAACTTAGTGAAATTCTCACACCACCAAAGCCCAATTCTATTATCTCTAAAAGTCCATTCCATGATAAACCAGCAAAAAAACGACCGACGCATGGTCCACGCTTAAATTTCAATCACGAAGCTTCTAGATTAAGGCCCAGACAAGGAATAGTTTCTATAAAACCGATACGACCTGAAGAACAAGCAAGTTCCATTATAGATTATAGATATCCCTTGCGACCATATTCGGAAAAAAATCATTATGGTATGCTAGATTTTCGCCGCTCACAACCTTATAATAACTATCCTACATTTACAACATCTTTCCCACAAAATGATCCTCTCAAATCGTCTGCAGAATTTCAATCATCGGAAAGAGATTTGTACAACTTCAATAATCAAAGAACTCATAATTTGATAGGATTCTTAATGAAAAATAAACAACTTCCTGATAGAAATCAAGGAAATTTTTATGCTAATAGGGATACAATCAATAAATATTTTGATGAAGAGAATAAACGAACACAATCACAGGCTTATCAAGATATTCTCCAAAGTTTCCAAACAAAATCCGATAAACCAGTTTCAAATATACAGTTCAGCAGAATCGTTAAAACTGCTTAACTATATCTGAAAAAATGTAGTAAAAAATTATCTGCCAACCACAAATTTTAAACTCATATTTAAAAGGTATGAAAATTCATGTAGCGCATTATGATCATTGAAATAGTCTCATATTTTTTATTAAATAGCCAAGTTATGGTCTTTCGTTTTCTTGTTTTATACGTTTAAAAGAAAATAGTTCAATAGTGTTGTGTGAAATAATTGTTTTTTAGTTTTAAGAATAATTATATTTATGGGATTGTTAGTAATAATTTTTTAAGAAAGTTTATTATATGTTCACGAATTTCTATAAACTTACTGCCGAAACGAATAGATATTTGGAAAATATAGAGTTATTACGTATAACTAGAGATATTCTCTTAGCAAAACGTTAAATATAGAATTGTGTATTATACGACTGATAAATTTATAAGTATAAGAGATGGTCATTAGACCATTTTCTGTAAATAAAGTTGATAAAAAGAATACAAATATATTATAAATATCTAAGATTTCTTTGTTTTAATTATAATAAAGAAAACTAAGCTCAATAAAATTTTTTTTGATGATAAAAATAGTTTCTAGGTTTATTTGAAGTCTGATATTTGAAAAAGGTAATAAGTAATATTATGATTATTTGTATATGTGAATAAAAGCAGATGATCTACAACGTATTAATTAATTATTTGTATAGAAAATAAGTTTTACAAGGATTATATATAAATAATTATTAAACAAATGTTATAGCTCATTTCGTAGAACTAATTGTATTTAATGTTTACAAAAAATTCAAATCTCCGGAAATTTTTAGTTATTATAAAAACAAAATTATGCGCAATATCCGAACTATAAAATTTTATTTTCTTTAAAGAATTTGATCGAGATACTAAAGTACGTAGTGCAAGAAACTCGAGGAGATAGTGATCAGTAAAGAGATTTAGCTTGGTTTTTCTTAGAGTTGTTTTTATCGCTTTTAGAAAAGTGTAATTTGTTCCGTTGCCGCATCGCTGAACACAGATTATAAAAGACGCTGAACAGCTTCACTCACCGCAGTAGGAATTATAATCTGAAGTCCGTCACATCTATCAGATGGACAAGATGCTGGTATGTGGTGCTATATTGTTGTTAAAATCAGAGAACCTTCTCAAAATTCGTGTTGTGCAAAGTGTATAAAATGTGAATAATTGTGAAAATGAAACAATAAAAACAGAGACATTCATAGTTACTTAGAAAAATAAATTTACCTAATTCTTTAAAAAATTTATAAATTATAGATAGGCTTAATGAATTTAAAACTTAACAATATATTTATTGTCATATTATAATTACTTGAGTAAATCTAAATTAATAAATAAACAAATTTAGAGTACTGACATTCGTCATTTTTTATTCCAGGTTAGATATATATTGGTGGTTTTTGGGGTTGCTGTAGGATCTAATTCTTTGAGTATTAATACTGATGTACCTTTATCACAAAATGATACATCAGCTGCATTGTTGGATTTTAAACCAATAAAAGCTGTGAAACCGAAACGTCAGCTTGGAAATTTTAATTTTGACGAAGGCTCCTTCGAAGGGTCGAGTTTTTTTAAAACAGAAGATACAACTTCTTTGGAAAATCTTGACACCGAGGATTTCAGTGGATTTTTACCATCAAGCTCAAAAGTAGCTCGAAGTAATGTACATGATATAGGAACTCATGGCACCAATCTTGATTCATCTAGGTTGTCTTCTGAAAATTATCAATCTGATTCTGAGGTAACACGAAAACTTCCAGATGTTCAAGCCGATTATTATTCAAATGAAGATCAAAGTGCTTTGAGTCAATCACAACTTAGCACCGTTAATAATCCGGGAACAACACCTCGTTATAATAACGTTTCTAATCAACCTAAATTTATTCCCTTAAAATCAAGTCCGTTTTTAACGGAACCAAAACATCTTCCAGCATTGCAGTATAATACGTACTCCCCCTTGGCAGAGTATGGTTCTGGTAATCCTACTTACACGTCTTCGAGTCAATTACCTGTTCAAACGGTTAGTCCAACTCATTCAATAACGTATGCAGTACCGTACAAATCTCAGTATTCGCATCCTTCGAGAATGTATGCACCATTACATAATCATAATCTACAGCAACAGTCTTATGGTGTACCATATCAAAATGCCTATAATAATATTCATTTTACAACAGCACCCTCAATTGACATAAATGGCAAGAAGTTAGCTTTGCCAATTTTACAGTTACAAACAGAAGTTCCAAGTTACGTTCAAGCTCTCAAAAATTCTCCTATTATTTTTGGTAGCGAGCCCGGCGGACTACAATATAAAGCTCAACCAGGTCATGGGGTAACTTTTGATTTTGCAAAACCTAAAAATTATAACCAAAGATTGGGAACCAATGCACCATTCGTAGTTACTCATAGTCCTAGAACCACACAACTTTTACCGCTACAAACATCAAGCAGTACTGCTCAGTTCCCTCAATACAAAGGGGCAAGTGTGTCGCAATTTCCAAACAGAGGATTCAAAGTAATTCCAAATGACTATCAAGAATTCAAATTACAACCCCAATTACATTTCAGTAAACATAATAACAATAAGAATAGCGGTTATCACGTTCCTAAAAACTACCAAAAACCTGGTTTTTATTCAAACCCATCAGCTCAAATAAAAACAGATGTAGAAATTATTGATAACAAAAAACAGAAACTACCGTCACCTCCAAAGAATGATGATGACCACGAAGAAAAAGATGGAGATAACAGTGATGAAGGTAATGATTATTTCAAATATAATAAATATAAATAAAATATATTGTTACATTAATTCCTATTTCGATCCTCACAGATTTTACCGGTAGAAGTAGTTATGTACCAAAGGAGGAAGATGAAGACAAATCCTCTCGAAAGAGTTTTAAAGAATCTGAACTTGAAGGAGATTTTATTCCATCAAAATCATATCCTTTTAAAGAATATGATCAAAAGTTTGGTAAGCCGAAAAAGTTAAGTTTTAATAGAGACAATAATGATGACGATGATGATGACCACGATGATGATTCAAACCTGGCTACTAAATATCGGTATTCAGCAAAACCTGATGATGACGATGACGGTGATGCTGATAGTGGCAGTAAATACGATAATGAAAATTTTGATGATGAACCAAAATCTAAGTACAAATCTCACCCTGTTCACAATGGATATAAAGACCATTATGAGGATGAAAATGATGAAGAAGAAGAAACAGATGTTAATGATAGAAAAAATTATTTAAAAAGTTTGGAATGGAATAACCAAAACAAAAAGTCACGACATCCTAGAAAAGAACGAGGACCAAATAATCAAGTAAAATATCAACGGTTTCTCGACGACAAATATCATAAGTCTAGTAAGATTTACAAATTCTAAATTAATAAAATGCACCATAATGAAAAGAGCTATTCTCATAAAAAATGATACGATAATCTTACAATACATGTATATTAACATAGATAAGTCATATTTATGAAAACTTTTCTCTTTTATTTTATTTAATATAAAAATGAATTCTCTAACAAAAAATATTACATATCATGAAAAATGCTCTTTTTTGTGTCAATATTTACTCTATTTCACTATTTTTAAACTGTTAATTTAATACTTCAGCCGAATTCGATGCAAATCCATACAAGTTTCATCGAAATCAACGAAGGCCAGGCGATTCCATTCAAACCAAATATCGTGCATATCGTGATGAGAGTGGCGAACCATCTACAAGACAAATGTCTAGTAGTTTTCTACAAAATAATGACAATTTCGGTACATGGCCCGTAGAAAAAATTAATAATCTCAGTAAAATAAAGAATACCAATAGTGAAGTGCCAAAAACAATCTGGAAGAACTCCTATGGAATAAGAGTTAATGATCCAGATGATGACAGCAATAGATCAAGTTACTCAAAAGAAGAAGCTGCTGGTGAGGAATCCGCCGAAAGACATATCTTTAAAAATCTAGAAATTTTTGACTATTAAATTTTAAGTATAGTAACTTTTTTTTAATGATAAAAGGTGCTATCAGTTAAAAAAGTAATAGACACCTTATTTTCGAAACGTCTATCTTTCTAAATAAAATATCACATGAAAATGAAACTTTTATAGTGTTAAATCTTCAGATATTGTGCATCCATTGTTTTATCAGCTATTTATCTAGACTAATTAGCAAAGTTACGGCGGCAATCGGAAAGAAAAAACCTAGATATTCGAGCTTTTTCAGATAACTTTGCACAGCTATTATTTCATCAGAAGAGCTTCAAACACCAGAAATAAGATTTAGCTTATGGTTCAAAGCCTTTCTGGAATAACTGCGATGTAATTAAAAACAAATTAATTAGTTTATTACAAAAAAATTAGTTTACTACAAAAAAATTACTTTAAGATTTGGTTTAAGGTATAGAAAAGTTTTAAAACTTTTTAATTTACCATATATTGATGAACATATTACTTAAATGTATAAAAGCCAGTATCTAAAAACTGAACATGTGCGCATAGTGCTTTGAAAAAAACTATTTTATTTCAGTTACAAACGATGATAAGCTACTATTGGTATCAAGTTATACTTGATGTGGATACACTACCGCCATACATTGAAATTTTATGACCAAAATAAAAAATGCGGCTTCGTTTGAACATGATGCTAAACTTTGAGGTGCTGGCATTTAAACATTTAAGTAGTTTATTCAAAATTTTTTGGAAAATTAGACAGTTCTAGAGTTTTTTTATATTTTGCATTAAATCCGAAAATAATTAGACAAGAAATTAATGAGATAATATTTTTCCGGCAATTACCATTTATATATAAACTAATTGATTTTTTATAATTTCATCGCAGTTGTTTTAGGAAAGCTTTGAATCATAAGCTGAATCTTTTACCCGACGTTTCAAACTTTTCTGACAAAATGGCAGCTATAAAAAGTTGTCCGTATCTGAAAGGCTCGAAAATACATGTTTTTTCATTGCCAATTGCCGTCATAGTCTTGTTAAT